AATACATGCTAATCACAAGACTGAAAACATTGTATAAGGACATGCATATTACCGTAAGAAGTTTTAATCAATTTAAATTTTAGAAAATTACTTGAACTTAGATAAAAATTTCGATTTACAAACTATCAGTAATAAATAATGCGTACACACAAACAGCCTTCCAGCAGTAAATAAGGCAGTCATGCCACAAATTAACAATGAAAACGCGCTAAAAGTGTAGTTTTTTCAGCAATAATGTTTAATTCATACTTTTTGATTATTATTGTGGATTCCCAGTTTCATTTGAAAACAGAAAAACTGGCTGCAAATATTGGCAAGTACCATTAGTGTATCCCAGTAACGATAAACTCAATATCAACATGTAATCAAATATGAGGCCATGGATTTTGTTTCCGCCAAATCGCAGTTGTTGCCCGAATTTTCGTTATAATTTTTGAAAATGTAACAGAGGTTAAAGTCCAAGGTTTTCGCAAAAAATAACGTTGCCTCCGCCATAGGTGACCAGCGAACGAGTCTTTACCACTCATACATTGCACAACTGTATAAGTTCTATTTGGTGTTAATGTAATAGCCTTTTTAAAACGAATATCTCTGAATATTATATTGTCCTGAAATTCAAGTGCGATGTCTTTGAACATCATTACATCGTCACCCTCTTGCAATCTTACAAACCCTTCAATATTTCCTTTTTCTGACGGTGTGAACATGCTTACGCCTACCAACACCGCAGATTTCGAGACTTTGAAGTTTATCCCATGTAACTGTGACGAATTGTGCCAATCGATTATAAAGCTTTTAAACCTATCAACAGTTATACCCTCCGTTTGCTTACGTCTTAAAGATTTACAGAACAAAATTTCCTGATTTATCGGGGTGTTTTCGAAAAGGCTCCGAAAGACGGAAAGCTTTTCATCAGGGGAAAGAATGTTTTCATTTGACACTTGATGAGCAAATTTGTCTGGATCAATTAGCGGAAAGCGGATGAGGAACAACAGGTCTCCAAGTTTTACTCTTATAGCTGAATGACAAATATCAGTATCTTTGTTTCCCTGGAGGTTTGCTACAGCCCAATCCTTACAAGCTTCATAGATATCTAGCTCATCTGCACAGAAGTAGTCAGACTGGAGCAACTCTCGAAGTACTTCTTTTGATAGACAGTTTATCTCCCCATGTTTTAAAACAGCGTCAATGTTAGCAAATATACATTTGAAGCACTTGTCTGTCAATTCATTCAGATTGAATTGATGGGCATGCATTAAGATCACGCACACGTTTTCAACAGACATTTCTGCTTTAAGGTAGTCTGTACATTTCTCCACCAGACGCTGTAATTCGTATTTATTTGCGGCATACATTAGACCACTAACTGTATCATGTGTAATATGACATTGCTCTGTGTACACAAAACCTGTGACAAAGAACAAAAATAAAATCTCTTAATGATTCAATGTTTGAAGTAATTAATTATAGAATATATACGAGGACTTTACCGGCTGTATCAGCGCGTGGGGTGACAACAAGGGTCAATCATAGGAAATTTAATCGAGACGGAACGTCGATATTAATTTCCATGACTGACCCTTTTGTCGCCCCATGCGCTGATACCAGCCGTTGAAGTCCGAGTATTTATTCTGTAACTGTTTTATCGCATGACCATCACGACTTTTTTCTTCTTTCGTAATATTTGCTTTATTTAAACATATAAATATTTTAAGAAATGCCCACAGAAATAAACCCATTAGATGCCGTTGAAGGAACTGGACATAAATAACCATTTCGTGAGGTAATTTGATGCTTTTTTCTAAATGCGAAATAATAATCATCTTTCCAGCTCATTTTAAAAATATAATCTAGGAAATATTGTCGATACGTATCCTGGTGTATATTTCAGAGGTATTTCTTGTATTCGTATACTTTAAAACTAACGACAATGTAGTTATTTTTTTCACTACTTCCATCTATTAATAACAAGATATGTTTGTAAAACATGTATGCCCCCTATCGGCAGCCAATTAGTCATGTGATCAGGTTATTATGCATGACTTCTGACCCAGTGAACAAACAATTAATAAGGGTTATCTAGTATCTACTGGTCATGACTAGTCACAAGGTAATAATTATTGTGACCCCATAGGTTGTGTGCAGCAATTTAAGTTATTACAAATCTTACCAAATAATATATGCATAAAGTTTATGAATCATGTAGGCCTCAATAATGAAAGCCAAGTTGTTATATTACATAAGACATTCAAATGTGTATACCAAAAGCATTTTTAGTTTAATATAAAAATATCAACCAAGGCAACTTGAGTTGTTGAGTTATTGGTCAAAAACCGTCATTAAGTACAAGGTCAATATCACATTGACCCCTTGACCCCAAAATCAAAAGGGGTCATCTACTGGTCATGACCATCATCATACAAAGTTGAAAGTTCCTAGGCCTAAGCGTTCTTTAGTTATTGATCTGAAACCGTTTTTACCTACAAGGTCAATGTGACCTTGACCTTGGACCCCTTGACCCCAAAATCAATAGGGGTCATCTGCTGGCAATGACCAATCATCATACCAAGTTTGAAGTTTCTAGGTCTAAGCGTTTTTAAGTTATTGATCGGAAACCGTTTTTACCTACAAGGTCAATGTGACCTTGACCTTTGACCCTTGACCCAAAATCAATAGTGGTCATCTGCTGGGCATGACCAATCACCATGCTAAGTTTGAAGTTCCTTGGCCGAAGCGTTCTTTAGTTATTGATCAGAAACTGTGTTTACTTACAATGTCAATGTGACTTTGACATTTGACCCCTTGACCCAAAAAATCAATAGGGGTCATCTGCTGGTCATGACCAATCATTATACAAAGTTTGAAGTTCCTAGGCCTAAGCGTTTTGAGTTAAATGATCGGAAACCGTTTTACCTACAAGGTCAATGTGACCTTGAACTTTGACCCCTTAACCCCAAAATCAATAGGGGTCATCTGCTGGTCATGACCAATCACCATACCAAGTTTGAAGTTCCTAGGCCTAAGGTTTCTTTAGTTATTGATCAGAAACCGTTTTTACCTTAGAGGTCAATGTGACCTTGACCTTTGACCCCAATTGATTTTGATCAATTGATCACGACCAATCACCATATCAAGTTTGAAGTCCCTAGGCCTAAGGGTTCTTTAGTAATTGATCGGAAACCGTTTTTACCTACAAGGTCAATGTGACCTTGACCTTTGACCCCTTAACCCAAAAATCTATAGGGGTCATCTGCTGGTCATAACCAATCACCATACCAAGTTTGAAGTTCCTAGGCCTAAGGGTTCTTTAGTTATTGATTTGAAACCGTTTTTACCCAAGAGATCAATGTGACCTTGACCTTTGACCCCTTAACCCCAAAATCAATAGGGGTCATCTGCTGGTCATGACCAATCATCATACCAAGTTTGAAGTTCCTAGGCGTAAGCGTTTTTAGTTAATGGATCGGAAACCGTTTTTACCTACAAGGTCAATGTGACCTTGAACTTTGACCCTTAACCCCAAAATCAATAGAGGTCATCTGCTGGTCATGACCAATCACCATACCAAGTTTGAAGTTCCTAGGCCTATGGTTTCTTTAGTTATTGATCGGAAACCGTTTTTACCTAAGAGGTCAATGTGACCTTGACCTTTGACCCAAATTGATTTTGATCTACTGATCATGGCCAATCACCATATCAAGTTTGAAGTCCCTAGGCCTAAGGGTTCTTTAGTAATTGATCGGAAACCGTTTTTACCTACAAGGTCAATGTGACCTCGACCTTTGACCCCTTAACCCCAAAATCAATAGGGGTCATCTGCTGGTCATAACCAATCACCATACCAAGTTTGAAGTTCCTAGGCCTAAGGGTTCTTTAGTTATTGATTTGAAACCGTTTTTACCCAAGAGTTCAATGTGACCTTGACCTTTGACACCTTAACCCCAAAATCAATAGGGGTCATCTGCTGGTCATAACAAATCACCATACCAAGTTTGAAGTTCCTAGGCCTAAGGGTTCTTTAGTTATTGATCGGAAACCGTTTTTACCTAAGAGGTCGATGTGACCTTGACCTTTGACCCCTTGACCCTAAAATCAATAGGGTCATCTACTGATCATGACCTATCACCATACCAAGTTTGAAGTTCCTAGGCCTTAAAGTTCTTTAGTTATTGATCGGAAAACGTTTTTGCTTACAAGGTCAATGTGACCATGACCTTTGACCCTTTGACCCTAAAATCAATAGGGGTCATCTACTGGTCATGACCAATCACCGTACCAAGTTTGAAGTTCCTAGGCCTAAGGGTTCTTTAGTTATTACTCGGAAACCATTTGGTCTACGGACCGACAAGTACAAAGCAATATACCCCCTCCTCTTCGAAGTAGGGGCATAATTACGCTAGAATATTATGTTCATATACGTGTAGTGGTTTACTGAAAGGCTTACTGGTCAGAATCTCCAGTAAAACGAAGGCATTGTTTAAAGTAAAAAAAAAACAATAATTTGATCATTTTTTCAGATTTGTCCTCGAGGTCAGGATGCAGAAAATGGCAATTACTTTCCACTGGAGTCAACATCTTTATAATAACTGCATTTTCAGGTTTTGAAAAAAAGATCGAGATGATATATAAATATTTTTTTTTAAAAAGTGCTGTAAACTGTGTAATGTTTTGTTTTGCTCTTTTTCAGGTATGCTCACTTTATTATTTGAAATAAAATAATAAACTGGGCTTGCGCGAGAAAGGATACCTCATTTAGAGCACACCAAAGCGTACTGATACGTCATTTAGAGCACCCCAAAGTTTCCCAATACTGAAATTTAGATAAGACCGATCTTCAAAGGAAAGTTGTGGCGGTCATGCGATAATTGTGATGTACTATTTGTGATATCATGTAAGCTTATGAATTTTAATGGTGTATATACATGAATGAAACATAAATAAATTGGTCATTCATTGTAGAATGAAAGAAATATTTCTTTATTTTTGTGCAATTACTACACGTTTATTGTCATCGTTGAATATATGTAATTTCTAAAGGTGTAAAGTAAAAGTGTAAAACGACTGTGCATATAAGCTTAGTTTACAAGGGGTTTGATAGGGAATGTGGTTTCTTGTGACTGATGCGATCGCAGAAAAAAGGGTAGTGTTTAACAATATATTCATTTGTCAAGGGGGAAACTATTACTCTCAATGAAAGTAGGCGTATTTCTATTAGTCGGAATACAACTTAAGGCGATGATGATAGGTTTGAAAGATATGATACTTTCATAATTCCTCATGCACAGACTTAATAGAATCTAGTCTGCAATTTGCATCTTTCTACTTTTCTTCCCGAATGTTTTCTCCTTTTCTAGAATTTCCATATATTCTAATTAGTTATTCATATATCATTTCAATGTTCTTTACCTCGATCATATTTACATTGAATTACCTAAGAAGTTCTTTCAGAATATCTTCTTCGATGTCTGGTATCAAAATGCTGTCGCTAGTCTCTGGCACTGATCCACAGAACATGCAATAAAACACAGGGCTTCTGCCTGCCAGTATCACTTTGTGTGCTTTTACCTCTACTTTGTCGTTTCCCACCAAAAACGTGACGTCACTAAGTATCCCATTTTCTAGAATGTAGCTATTTGTATCTTCAAACAGCCTTGCACTTTGCCAAATGCTTGCCATGTTCTTAATGTCTGGAAATTGAAAATGGCATACCAGTTACTTAAGATTTTAATAAGGCATTGGAAGTGAAATACTAGGGTCTAAAATCGTTCAGAACATCGTAAATTGCAGTGGCGTAGCTACTACTAGGCCATGTAGGCCCAGGACTACAAATTGGCCAAGAAATTGACATTTTCAAAAGTCCCAAAATACAATTAACACAGGGGTGGGTGGAATTGGTAATATGTTAAAGCCGTATGGTCGAATCAAGTGTCTTTTAGGCTGATTTACCGTCCTCAATAAAGTTGGCATCTAATCAATTTCATATTTTTAAGATTATTGTTTTGATAATTTTCCTTAAAAATACTTAAGAACGCGCAATTTGCTCTTTTTTAATCTGAACTTGTTTTTGGCTTCTGCTGGCTAAGCCCCCACACCCCCTTTTATAAGGCCTACAAGTTGAAAAAACCTTGTTGTAGTTGTAGTTGTAGTTCTACCATGTGAATTCAGATTGTAGAAAAAATAAACGATTGTAGAAAAAATAAACAAAATAGAGGATGTAATATTTGTTTAGTTATAATGAGAAACGGAATTATTATCAATTAAAGAACAATTTGTACTTTCGGTTTGATAGCTATCAATAATACCGTTATTCTATAAATATATTGATAAATCATAAAATATGTCAATACCATTTAAGTACTTAAAGATTGTTAAAATCTTACCCAGTAAGCATATATTTCTCTTATTTATACTATTTAACTTTACTTCAAACAAAAATGTATTCGAATTGGCTATATCTTAACATTTCAGGAACAAACTATCCCAACACTTGAGTGTATACAATGGCACAGTCTAAATGCTCACAATAATTATAGAAAAAGAGCGAAACACGGACGATATTAATAGCAGATGGTTAATTTGTCGACGGTTGCTTAAGCTT